GCTTCTTAGCAGTTAAGTATATACAAACCATTTAACCACATGACAGAGAGCCAGGGAAAAGAAAGTTAACTTGTTAGAAGTTACTGTAATGATTCTGTCTAGATGTCAGTAGAAAAGTAGAATTCAATACAAATTTTAGTTCATGAAACTTTTTCCAGGAATAACTTTATCATGTAAAGAGAGGAATTCCTGCAACGTCTACACTGCAATCAATGGTTTCTTTGTGGGTTGAGTGATGACAGCCTCTTTAAGTCCCCAACTCCTGGTCCTAAAGTGACCTGAGCAGTAGAGAGCTCTGAGACAGCTTTTTGGGATAACCCCACCACAGTTCTGAACTATCTGCTGTCAAAGGTATGGCAGTTGCATAATTAACCATAATAGCTGCAAATAATATACTTAGAATAAAAACCCTGTTGTTATTTAGCTAAACTAAAAAAAAAACAAAACACACACACACACACACACACACACAATGGTGTAAAATGTCAAAGGTACGTAGGTGCCAAGGGAAAACTCCCACTGGTCAAAGCTGAACAATCTGAGCAACAAAATAACATAATACTGAATTATAACTCAAAGGGTAAAATAAATATCCTTGAATTTATAAGGATGCAAATAAATAATTGAACAAAGAAATAAGTGAAGGGTTACTCTCTCATAGAGAAAAAATTTAAGTAATATATATAGATACTCCCACTTCAAGGAGATAAACGATCGCTCCCCCATAATTAACCATAATAGCTGCAAATAATATACTTAGAATAAAAACCCTGTTGTTATTTAGCTAAACTAAAAAAAAAACAAAACACACACACACACACACACACACAATGGTGTAAATTATAGCTATGTGTAGAGTAAAATTTCTTATTTGCATTTCACATAAAATTCACCAAACTCCTTATTCACTCATTACTTACCCATTATGGGGTTTTTAAATGGCACTTTTAAAGTTTGCTTTGGCTCACAGTGAATTATTTGCTAAGACTTTATTTCTGGAGTCATGACTCCTCTGGGACTTTTCTACCTTTTGGTAAATTCATAGCTCATTTTGTGGGTAGTAGTGGTTTGTGGCCTCTATGTGTGCATGTGTGGTCATATGTGAAGTATAGTATTAAGATATCCTAAATGGTGGAACATTTCATAAGGAAGGATCCTATATCCCAGAGTAATCAAACAGAAAAAATAACAAGCAGAAAATGAGTAAAGAATAGTCAACAAAGGTAGCAGAAAAATTAGGTTACATCCTTGTAATTCTGCATACACTTGAATAATCTGCTGATTTAATGGGTGGGAGAGATGTGTGTTACAAAAATTCATTGAATATTTGGATATCAAGCGGCACAAATATAAAAGTGGGTGAAAAGTTAAAATCGAGACAAAGCTGTCTCTGAGAATAAAAACTTGATGAACTTTAATAAGTCACTAAATGCAACTGTTGAATACGGATGAGCAGAGGAAAATATCTTTTTGTGTGTACACTTTCAATAAAAAAATGCGGTTTCTAAGACCAATATCAGTATATTAGAAGAAGAACTGGGGGCATAAAGCAAGGTAGCTGTAGACATTTACCAATTCTAAGAGGGTGATGAAAAATCTCCCTGCCCCCAAATTTCTCCCCCACTTACCACCAGACCTTGGCTCAAAATGTCTTCCAATACAGTCTCTAATGAGCTCGAGAGCAAAGGGGAGGAGCATTATTTTAGAATTGAAACACACAGTTTCTCAGAATATTAGAAAAGTAGTTTCTAGACTTATAGAGATTACAGGCTAGACAAGATCATAGTGAACATTTAGTTCCTGCTTTCTCCTAATACATACATTTTACAGATGTGAGAGTTGGATACTCCAGGCAATAAGTTACTGGCTCATCACCTAGCAAATTAATGGTGTAAAAATGTGGGTTTCTAACTCTCTGTCTAGAGGTTTTTTTTATGCTACTGAGCACTCACTGCCAATACTCTTAAGGGTAAGAGAAGCGTCTCATTTCACTGGGGGATGAGTCCCAGGACTAGGGGCTGCTGCATGAGGGCTGGGTGGGTCACAGAATGAAGTTGTAAGGAGTGGGGCATTCTAGACTTGTGCCTGGATACGGAAGTTTGCTATTTTGCCTAATATTGGCTTAAATGATAAGGGAATTTTACTGCCATTAATATATCATCGTATAGTATGCTCTTCTACTGGATATAGTTAACTGGCAGGTAAACCATATTGCCAGTGAGATGCCATGCCCTGATACCAGCTTAATGGTAGGGGTTACGGTTTACCCACAAGGCAAAAGAACGCTGGACATTTTTATAGTCATTTACATATTTAGAGATTGTTCTGGGTTTCATGAGGAGCAGTTGTTACTCTGATATGGAGCTGAAGCGTCTCAATTTTGCATCAAGCTAATGTGTATTCGTGGATACCATACTAAGCAGAACAAGAAGTAATCTCTACTACCTACTATTGGCCTCGAGTGACCTAAGGTAGCTTTCAACGCTTTCATTTCATTTGGAAGTGAACCTGTCCCTTTGAAAATATTATTATTGATCCTTAATTTTCCCCAATGATTTTTGAGAATTTTAGTTGGGCTTTGAATATATCTAAAAATAAAATGAGTGAAATTTCTTCTGATGGGATCCAAAACTATCGCTTTCTTTTTCCTAATAATTACAAACCATCAGGTTTTCATTTGGTTATGAATTTTATTTTTGAAGTTGGCTTTGTACTATGCTATGTTACCTCCTGACATTTAATGTTGTTGGGATTTACTGGATTTCCGGGAAAAGTATAATTAAAAAATATTATCAAACATCATTAATTAGGTATCAAAACGAAGTCATCATATTGCTTCTCACTGAATTACAATCGAAGAATTCAAGTTAATTTGCCTATTTTATCATAACAATATGCTATTCCAACAGTTTCAAAGCTAAAACCCTCAGCGGACAGAGGGCAATTAGAAAAAAATCCTCACTTCAGAAGAAAATCCAGGATATTTGTTTAACTGGATGAACAGTAATATACATAATGTGCTAACATTTCTTAGCAAATAGATTTCTATAAACAAGCTGCTTCCAAAAATACTTTATGAGCCCGTCGTTAACTCTCAGAGATGTTGTTTTAGGTTGGAAACCTCAGTGATCCATCTCGCAAAGTACGGCTGGAATTAAGAGACCCCTGAAATCACTCAATGAGAAGGACTGAAAAGGGTCCAGTAAAGTCATGACCCTTTAAAGGTGTTGGTTTACAGAGTGTGAAGTGGGCAATTCACCAGCTGCACCCAGGAAGCAGCGTTGCAAATGCCTCTGGCCAGGAATCAGAGAACATGTCATTTTAAAGGATCGCTGGACACTGCCACCACTGCAGACCCACAGTTTGTTTGGTCTAACTTCAGTGATAAGGAAAAACCCCTTTAATTTGGAATATAGTTAAGTATTTCAACAGAAGATTATTACAATGAAAAGCAATTAATTACACTCTGTTGTTTTTTGTTTTTCGGACCATTTTTTAGGGGTCCAACCTCAAGGACAATGCACCTAACTATGCTTAAAACGTGAGGTGCAAGATCTTAAGCAAAGGCCGTGCATTCAGAGTGCTGGAGTTCCCCGTCGTCAGGCGTGGACGTGGAGAGGAAAGTACTACCACTTTCCTATGAGGCTCACACAGCAGAATTTATTACATAGGTACTTATCTTAGCTGAAAGGGTTAAACAAGCGATTACAGGGCAAGAGCAAATGAACTGGGTGTCAAGATTTTTAGGATTTTTGTTCATGCTATTATCAACAATCTCTTTTCTTAACAATATCACTTAACTATTTCTCTGCTTCAGTTTCTCTATATAATGGATGTACTCACTTTAATTCCCATGTTCCCAAAGAAGTGATGGTGGAAAGATATGTTGTAAACATTTTTTAAGGTCTTTGATTTCCCTAGAAAAATAGACTTTTGAAAAAATGCCCAGAGAAAATGTTTAGAAACTCAGTAATACCAGATCACAAATCTCTAAATTTTGACTGCTTTAAAAAATAGCTGTTTTAAGGTGAAACATGTTAGTGTATTGTGTGTGCAGATATATTATGTATATATCTTTACTCTGATTACAAAGCGAAAAACAAAAATACCGAGCTAAGGAAGTTTAGGTCTCAGTATTTAGTGAGATATGCATGCTATAATTAAATAAACCATTTCTCTTAATTTGTAGATTATTTTTTTTGTCTCCTCTGCTTTGAATGAAACTCTTATGCATCTGTTCTGCAGGAGTAGTAGCAGACCGGCTTGAAGTCTAAATCCATGACACCCTTCCTAGAACAGTGGTAACCTGATCAAAACAGTTATCAAGCAGAAATGCTGTTTTCTGATAAACTCGGCCAAATTCAGTCTCTTTCTAAGAATGAACGAACACACACACAGACACTTACACACACACACATGTATGCATGCACACCCCTATATTCAGAGCTGAGATTTTTCTCCTACCCCCAACTAATAAAATCAGGAGGCTGCAATGGGGCTGAGCGGCACACAGTTTGATGTCCTCAGCAGGATGCGGGGAGTCAGAAGTGGCGCTGTAAATCAACACTGTGTTAAGTGTGGCCTGAGTCTCAGAGATTTCCCTTTGATGCAAGTTCAGTATATTAATGGGAAAAGCATTCACTTTTATTTGTCTGTACTGTCTGCGACAGCAAGGCTGCCTCATTTAGCCTGGGCCAACATGAAAATACACAGAGAAGCAATCTGTTGCAAATTAGCACAGCTCCCCTTTCATTTACTAGCTAGTAATTGGAAAGGGTTAAGAAAGTGTAACTTATCAGGCCAGGAGAGTGTATCTGCTTGTGTGGACAGCAAGCCTCCCCTGAATTTCCCTCTGAGCCCCGAGGCAGCAGTCCTTCCTCCATGTCCACTTGGTTGGAAGGACAATATTGACACGTGTGAACGTGTACACCTTGCTAGGTTTGAGGAGGCAGCTTCCTGGAGTCCTGAAGGGGGTCTTCACAACGCAATAAGAATCTTACCTTTCTTTAGATATGTTCTTACTCTCCCGTTTCCAAATCGTCTTGAAGTCACTGCAGAACTCGTACCACACCATAAATACGTAGCTGGGTGTGATCTCCTTCTCGCCAGACTTGGGCTTCATCCCAAAATACCCGACTGTCGTTTCAAAACTGCAACAGGCGGGGGACAAAAACATCCAGGGAGTTAGAGGGTGAGAAACCGTCAACGCCAAAACCCATCAGGCTGAGGAGAGGGAACACTGGGGGCAGTTTCCCACACGTCCATTCTTTAACCCAGGAGCCCTGCCTCAGAGTTATTGTGGCTTATCTCAAACCCCAGGAAATCTATTTTCTCAAACCCATTTTCCAAGAAATTCAACTGGACAGGGGATATTCCTGGGTGTATCTTAGCTGCATAAAATGTAGCATGTATTATTCCAGAGGGTATGTAGGTGAAACCTTTTGAGATTGTTCTTCATCTCAAATCCATGTCATGTACCTGCTCCTCATTTGAAGTTTAATGATTACATGGAACACTGATGGCATTCAGTTCTGTAGCATAAGCAGTGGTCAGTTAGAGAGCCCATTGGGAATAATTAATCTGTTGAGTGTTTTCTGGAAAATTGAGACCGTTCTATCCTTATTCTGGCATCCACTGGCTTTCTAATCTGGGGCCAATCACTCAGCATCAAACTCTGAAGTTTTTCAAGGGTAAAATAAGAGACCGACCCTCTATGATCTTTAAGGAAGCTGCATTTTAAAGCTTTATATGGTATAAGTATACAAGCCACCAATGTACAAAAACATATAATTGAGGGTATAGCAAGATTTGGGGTAAAAACCCATCTTTGATCTTGAGAAATGCTCTCCAATCTGGTCCAGGTTGTGCAAAGTAGACTCCCAGCTATCACTAAGAACCTCCTGACCTACCCCATGGAGGCTCACTGTGCACCAGACTCCCTGGGCCTCCCAAGCAGCCCTTCTTGGAGCCACCAGCTTTGCAGCAATTTATAGCTCTGCACTCAATCTTCCTCCCCACCACCCCCACCCACCCCAAGCCTCACAAGCTCATTTGCCATGAGCAAGAACCATTAAATAAATGGCCCCCTTTTCTAGGGTGTTAGAA